GTTTTCGAGCAACCCGGGGGCCCATGAAGAAGAATGCCACGCATGGGTGATATTCCGAGTCTGGAAAACACAGAAGAGTGTTTTATAGGCCACTCAACCGCTTGCTGAAGCTTTTTCTGTTCCATATGTATAACAAAATAATCAGATTCAACATGATTAGAGCTCAACAATTCCTCGGGATAAATACGTAAATTACGGCTATGTTTGTAACCTTCACATCTTTTAATCCTCCAATGTCATCCCAAGAGACCTTTGGAATTTCCATAGTGACACCTCTAGTTATACTGGGACCTACCACAGTTCTAGCCTGTTTCCAGTCATCCATTGTTATAATACACCGTTTAACATCTGGATGCGTATCTGATGAGTTTTTCAGTGCTGACATGGCAGCTTCACGACATAGAGCTTCCAAGTCTGCCCCGACATATCCATTGCAAGATGCAGCTACAACTTTTAGGTCGACATTTGGATCCAGATAAAGCTTCTTTGCATAGAGCTGACAAATTGGAATAACTAACTTGAGGTTTAGTTTACAAGTGAAATGATAGGGTTTGTGAAAGCTTTCATTTTTATTATAGTTGCATATGGTACCGTCAATATTTGTAAGCGTTCCTCTTCTTTAGGAGAGGAAACCTCAACCTCGGCATCAAAACGTCCTGAACGTCTTAGTGCAGGATCAATTGCATCAACTCTATAGGATAAATACAAAAGTTAATGACAGTCAAAAAATAAAAAAGGAATCAAATATTTCCATGGTAACTAATTAGTTGAACTACCTATTAGTTGATGCAACCACCACAAGATTTGATACAGATGTTGATGAATGTTTGTTGGAGTCCATAAGCAAGAATAACTGAGAAGTTATTCGGATATCTTGTTCCCTCCTGAAATTGAAGGCATAGCCCATCCAAAAATTCGCATGTTATAATCTCGGATCGGAGATGCTAAGAGGGCAGGATACTGGTAACAGAAGATAACAAGACCAAACAACATTGGGCCAATATTTTGTCACTCCATCTTTTTATATGCTATCCTATTAAGTTCAGAATCAAATTTATCTGCTAGAGATAACTTAAAATTACCATGAAGTACAGTTCACAATCAAAGATAAATGGAAAATAAGTCTCCACATCACAGAATAAAAAGAAAAGCCCAAAGATTAAAACTTCGTATAATTGGATGCACCTTGAGTCGCGACGGGGGCAAAGCGTATCTATTTCATCGATAAAGATAACCGAAGGTTTGCCCAATTTGGCATGAGAAGCTGCTTCAGCAAAAGCCTCCCTCAAGA